TGCCTGCTACCAGTGCAAACTTAGCCTTTTCTAATCACGGAGAAGACAGAGAGTGCTTTAAAAAACACTTTGCTTGTGTAAGATACTGTACTGCTTTTTTCCTGATTGTCAGATGCTTAGAGCAGATCTCCAAAAGCAGACGGTACCACAGGCATGTATTACACCACTGACCATGGGGAGACAAGCCAGGTGTGGACCCAGAAACAACAGACCGGCAGCAGAAAGGGAGAACAGGCCTGGAGGGAGGCAGCAGCAATGCCTGCCACGCTCACTGCTCAAACCCCCCACCCAGCGCTGTGCCAGCCCAGCCTGGAAGCTCTCCAGACCTGGAGCTATTTGGAGCTCCCTGTGATGATTATATCCAAGTGCACAGCAGCTCAGCAGTTCAGATAACCAGCACAGTGGTAAGGAGAACAACTTACTCCATGTCAAAAACAGAGAAAAAGAAAAGTGATGATTATCTGTGATGCATATAGAAAAAATAGCTACCCGAGGCACTTCTGAGGAATCTGTCCCTTATATCACCATGAGTCATTTCTCTTCTTGCGAGAAGGCTTCTCCCAGTGGGGCTCTCCAGGGGGATTTCCAGAGACAGGCCATGCCTCCTGAACCCCTCAGGCAGCCAAGGGAAACCACGGCAGGAGACTGCACAGTCATAAAAATGACAAGTGATCCTTGAAATTTGCAGTGACTGCAATCCATGCCAATCACTGGCTTTCCAATGTCTGAGAGTTGCGTATCTCCCCATTTAATGGACACGATAATGAGAAAACAGAAATAAGCAAATGTAACTGACAAAAAACAGCCAACAATGCACTGGAAAAACCCATCAGTGGCACCTGAATACCAACTCCTGCCTCCCTCCCGCCAGTTTTATCCACTGTATGTTCATCCTCTACTTTGGCCAAACAGAAAAAGGATTTTACTGATTCAATTCTTAAGAGCCTTTTTAAATCTGAATCATTACAATATGATGTGTTTTCGGTGCTCCTCTTTTCATTTCCAAGACTTTGCCTTACTGATGGTCAAGATAGGCCTGAATTTCAGAGATGCTTCTACCTACTCCTGGATCTTGCTATCATGAAAATAAGGGTGGCCCTTGAAAACATGCCAAGCTACGATGTCATCACATGAAGTTTGTGGAAGTTTAAAATAAAGGAAGGCGGCTTGATTTATCTCTGGCTGACAGTGTGTCAGGAAATTGCCGCTGCCATGCCTTGGCACAGCTTTCTGTTGAAATGGCTGCCCTCTCAAAACAAGAAGTTTGGCACAACACAGGGTTGTGGTTCTTTGGACGTGCATAAGGACACAGACTGCAAAAAACATTGCTGCCTCAACAGACACACAGAAGCTATTGCAATAGGATGAATTGTCTATGTCCTACCAGAAATACCTGCAGTTTCCACTTGCAGAGAGGCAGGACTACAGCTCTGTGCAAAATGTAGTTTTTGTTAAGGGAAAAAGAACTGTTTGCCAGTCCTACTGATTACAACCCTTTTCCCTCTCCACAGTGACTTCCCAGTTAGTAGCATCACTTACTAGGTTATCTCTCAGTACAAAAGTCATCAGACATGATAAATATATATCTTCTGTGTTGTGTTGCCAGATGAAAAGTCACCCTTTCGTGAGGGATATACTAAAACACGTCTAGACTGACACAATTCATGTTACCCTGCACAGCCATCAGAGATCATAATTTTGTGCTAACTGATGACCCAGCTGGGGTCTGAAGAGTCAGTTGAGATACAAAGTGTTTTGTCTGCCATGGTCCTTACCTAGTATTGTCAGATCCTTCCTACCCAAATATTTTAATGCCTATAAAGGATTCTCTAAATACATACACAAAACGCAACCCTTTGCAGACAGAAAGGCTATCAGGATACAAGGAGAGACTGCAGGAGGACCTCAACAATCAATGCATTTCTAATAAGGCCTGGGGAGAGGGACTAGTTTCAGTCTTGCCAGCTTGGCCATTTTTCACAGAATGAAATAACTTAGCAGAAAAAAAGATTAGTTGTATCACCATTATTACAGCTGGAACAGGATGTGTCTCTAAATTAGTGGCCTTAGCCTGCAATACCAGAAATCTGGTAACCTAGATATAATTTTTACAACACGGAACTTGCAGATAATTTACATTTCTACTAGGTAGCATAGTGATCACGGAAAAGAAAAGTGATTTCTGTGGAAAGCCCGTAAGATGGGTTTCCATGCTGAACACTGCTACGGGAAACTCTGAGTCCTGCTAGAACAAATACGTCACTAAACAATAAATGAAGAATTGCTTGTGTCTTGAATTTCTGCTGATGGGCACTACCAATGACAACTCGAGGAGCTTGACAACATGCTGGCTGCTGGATTCCAGATTTATGAGAAAATCCACATCTGCAGAGAGAAAACAGGCTACCTCTGTGGATGAGACTGTTCTGCTGCAATGCCATTTGCAGACTATGAACAAATAAATGCTTCCAAACCACACCAAAACCCAAACTGTAACTGCCTCCTGCTGTTTTATTTGGGTTTCACTCTATTTCAATTAACTGAGAAGAACCTGACAGTTCTGCAGCAACAGAAGGGCAGAATGGGAAAGCAGCAGCGGGGGGGGCTGCCAGGGCTTTTGTTGCTGTGAAGACGTGATGGGGAGGGGGCAGCAAGCAGGGTCGCTGATTGGTATCACATTCTCTGACAAAAAGACTCACAGGCAACAGGATTTTTGTCCTTGTCCTTGCAGCTGCTGTCCCCTCCACCAGTGCCTGCTGCCTGGAGTAACAACGGATATGTCCAATTTCTGGATGTATGCACTAATTGCAACAAGCACTGAAATACTCCTAAACATTGGCATTTAAATATTGCCTCTAGACCACAGATTCAGTGTGCGATATTCACTCATTTCACATCTCCCTCCTGCCCATCAGCAAACACAGTTACTGGGCAAAATATTTTTTATTTTGAATTCTGGTCCTACTTCTTTGGTGGGTGAGAAGGGTGCTAGGGGGAGCCACCAGGCTCTCTCCTGGTTCGCACATGGTGCCAGAACTTGTTTTCCCATACAAGCAGGAAGACCACTGAGGGATCAGTACACGCTAAGTGCAAAGAGTTAAATCCACTTTGTCCCTAAAGATATCACAGTCACTTCAGACCATTCTGCATTGTTGTAGCACTTGCAGAGAGGAAAATGCACTTTGATTATTTTTAAAACTCTTCTGTGGATCCATGATGTTATAAATGTCATTGTGATACCTGAGGCTCTGGATGGCAGTTAGGAACTGCTGGTATTTTTTAGCATAGTTGTGGCTAGATAGGTTGCAGTAAGCTTTCTCCATGTGCTAGACAGACCTTCTACTGACTTTCAGAGAGAAGACTTCAGGATAAGGAGACTAAGCATTCAGCCTGGTTTGGCTGGCACACTGATTAGGGAGAAAAATACCCTGCCCACGCACCTCACGGGAACTGCGCTTGAGACCCACTGGCAGCAGCAATTACATTTAGTACAGTCATATTTCCATTACACAGAGAGTCTTCAGTCCAAAATTTATGTACAGATTAATCTGATTATTTTTCTTCCCCATTTCTGCCTGACAAACTGTACTTGTTAGGCCCCTGGATGGAAATCCATGCTAATCAACTTTAGGCCTAGTAGATAAAGCAAAGTTGTTTTCTCTGTGTTGTCAGCAAACCACATTTTATGACTATACTCAAGCCTCTGCTAACTAAGGTCACTGGCATCTTCTTGAAATGCAGGAGCAAATAACAAGGATCAGGAAAAAGCTGCAGCTTGAGTGAAGACAGAAAGTGCCACTGGAGCTGCTCAGACTGGGACTGGAGTGTGCATGGTATGGGGGAGCCCAATGGCTCTATGCAAAGTTTATGCAAATGACTTTGTTGATGGGTTTTATCCACCCACACACAAATGACAGTTGTGATTATTTTAACCACAGAATTTTGTTTCCTGCATCAAGCAAACTAAATACTCAGCAACTGCCAGACTATTAAGCAAATGGTATGAGATGTATTGATTCTCCAGTGGTAACGATCTCTCATTTTTACATAATGCCTTTCAGGCTTAGGTGTCCCTAGGCACACTACAAGTTGTACCTATGAAAAAAAGCACTTCAGGAATGAAACACCACAGCTGCCTGAGAGGGCATTCCACCATCAAAGAGGGTGCAAACACCAGAAAAGCAAAATACACTCTTCCCAGCCAAAATTCTTAGTAGTATTTTGGACAGGTTCTAAACACAATAATCAGATTAGATATTAGATAACCATGCCTCAGAAAAGGTGAAACAAGTACTGAAACAACTATCGAAACAGTGAATATCTTTGCCATGAAGTTTACCGCATAGCTGGTGCAGCAAAAACTGCTGCACAAACAAGTATCTAGTTAATATATAACTGTACTGAAAAAGCCTTGGCTTAAAACCTGGCTGTTGATAAAAGCAGTTTGTCAAGACATCAATTTTCTCTCTTGTTGGAAAGCTAATGCTTCACACAATGTCGTTCATAATTGAACTGTGGCTCTACTTACATACTCAGAAGGCAAATGCACCATCTGAGTCATCAAAGTCACTGCAATTTCCACTCCTGTATCTCCTACCCCAGTTCTAATCTGTGACCAACCTTCTTAACCAAAGATCACACTTCAAATCCTGTCTTCACTAAAGGTTTTCTGTGTGCCCTCAAGGAAGTCACGTCACTGTTTTGTGTCTCATATTCTCGCCTGAATATGGACATTCCTGACATTTTGAGGGGTTCTTAGGGATACAGTTAATCTGAATTTTAGAGAACCTCAAGGAAAATGGAACTGAGCACCATGTGAGGACTTTCATCAGCTGAAGAACAACAGCAAAAGAGACGGGAAGGTTAGAAGAACTTCCTTCTCACAGGAAAAATTTGTGATCACTCTTAAAATCACTTGAGGGTAAGAACGAAGGCTCAGAACTAAACTTCACCCTGGACCTACAGAACAAGTCATGTCTCTGGTGAAGGAAGCTGCTTACCGCCTGAGTGCGTTTGTCAGTTCAGCAGTCAGTTCACTCTCGTCGTACGGTCTCAGCTCAGCTAGTGTTAACGGCGTTACGGTGCCATCACTGCATTCCTGAGAAATGAGGAAAGGCCATCTAATTTGAAGTTACTTACCATCTTAATGGGAAAACTCTGAAAACCTCTTAGTTCAAAGCAACTTTTAAAATGGAGGTGAAATAAACCTCACAACGTCACAACAATGTGGCAGTATATCAATACACCAAAAAATGGACTAAACGGATTAACACTTCACAAATCCTTCTAAATGTTTCCTAAACCACCACAGCTCAGTGATTTGTGGAATTCTGCTATAGTGTGCATAATGGCTGGTTCCTTGTATTACTTTTGACACCACACTTGAAATAAAGAAGCAATGGATAAAACAATTCAGATGATGCTTTGCCAAAAACAAGTAAGAAAGACACAGTTATACACTGGCTCTGGATTTTGTTTTTAAACATATTACTGAGGTTTTCAGGGGACACAGCACTAAAATAATAGGATTAAAGTTTTTCTAGGTATCACTATTTCTTCATGCAAATTATTAATGTAAATGCAGAAATTTGTTTATTTTGCATTATACTGGGGGAAGAATCTTCATTCTCAAATCATTACAAACTGACTTGGAAAAAGAGACTGTCATTACAGTTCTCTAACCGATTCACAGAAATGAGCTCTATTTTGTCATATTTTGTGTTTGGAGTAGGGAGAGGATGGCATTTTGCTTAGACTCTCTTCCACTGTTTCCAGTGAGTGGCAACAGGCAAGATACAACATGTTCAACCACAGTAGCTTGTATGTTTGGCAAGAATGGCTTTGTTGTACTCCTCCCCAAAATGACAACCTTATTTTAATAATTCCGCAAAGCCCTCTTAAGTCACAACACGGAAAGAACCACATAACAACTGGAGAGGAGAGAAAAGATGTACATATAAACTGAAGAGGAGAATGATTAACATGCTGAAGGTTGCTATAGGGAGGAGAAAGGTACAATAAATCGTGTTTACAATGATTTTGGAAACTTGTTTGACTCCTGACCTTGCCCAATTTGTCTTTGCTTCCGCTGCTGGTTGAGCTGAGAGATCTCATTCTCTGCTCTTTTTGCTCTTCCACTTCAGACTTCAAGTGCTCAATATGGACGAGGTAGGCCTGCTCCTGGGCCTCTCGAGTGCTCAGTTTCAATTCCAATGCCTTCTTCTCCTTCTCTAGTAGGTAAAGCTGTGCCTTGAGCTCTGCCATCTCCTCCTGTTGAAGAAACACTATCAGCATGCTGCTTCACGGGACTACATACCTAAAAGAAGACGAGGTTAAACAAGATTTTCATCCACTCCTATTACTTGAGTGTTCTTTCCATGGAGAACACTATCAGCATCCAGAAGGCTTTTTATAATCATGCACTGTATTTGTCAAAAAAGACCAGCACATCTTGAGACTGAGTATGACGAGTTGTACCATTGCTTTATCAGCTTCAGACACCAGCTCAGAGGCAACAGAGAAGCTAATATGGTGCTGAAACTAGAGTATCAGGGATCTGAGAGGGTTGCCACAGCTGCTGAAACTTCTTTGGTTCTCGTTTGCCCTTCAGAGGCCATTGTCCTAAAAACAGCAGTGTCTGACTTTCTTGTCAAACAGCTCCCTAAATGCCAGCTGCCACTTTCTTACTGATAAATAAGAATTAGAGTTGGTTTATCTCATTACAGTGGAACAGGTTTGAGTGACTAGGACAGCAAACATAGATCACATATTCCTGCCTCATAATACCAGCCTCTGAGGTAGAACGAGTTAGTCAAAAAGGGCAACTGGCTATAGCATCATCAAATGTCCATTTTTAATCTTCCTCCTCCAGATGGCCAGAATCCCAACTATACACAACTGGAGGTTGACAAAATTGCACCCCCTTATAGTCTTCCATAAATATGATCCACAGAAGATGGACACTGGTGCTTCATAGAAAGAAGCTCAATTCTGAGAGCTAGTTCTTGTAATTCTGCCACTCTGATATTTATGACAGGGCTGTCAACTACTGTTAACACAACAGCTGCTATTTGAGGACAGGCCTCTGCTTTAACATCTGCTCTGACAGTGGCTAGGCAGAAGTGTAAGAACAAGGCATGAGTGCAGTGACTCTTCCTTCAGCACTTGCTCCCAGCCTCCTATGCAATGCAGCTGATGGGTATCCTGAATCAGAAGGCTCTTCTACAAAATGCCTAGTTGTTTTCTGAACCCAGGAAAACCCAGCATTCACGAAATATTTAAAGAGATAGTCCTAAAACACAGTTTACATTATGTGTTAAAAACCAACATCAAACAAACAAAAGAGCACCCAAAAAAACCCCAAAACCCTGAACTCAGAACCATATTCTCACTGTTGAGCTTGCTGTGCCCTAGGTCACCTCATGGGTGAACACTGAGTTCATGCAGCCATTTTCTGTATTACAGTTCAGTTCTAGACTTGTTCACCGTGTAAACATCTCTGAAAGATAGAAGTTTCTTGTTGTGTGGCCAGCCTAGGAACAAATTGCTATTTTAAATTTTTTTTTTAAACAAAAAATCATATTCTAGTCACAAAAATATCAGAGGTATCTTACCTTATCCTTCAAAAATAATGCTCTTTGTATTATATCCATTATTAACAAAGATTATACAAACACAAATCTTGGCACATATTTAGACTAACTTTTTCTGTAGAAGAGAATCTATGTTTCTACCAAAAATTTAATGTCTGGATTAAGTGTAAGCAGTGCAGTTAAAACCAGCATACAGTAAACATAGGTAATCATTGGCTTATTCAGAATCAACAACGATGCAAAAATAAAATCCATATCCTAAAACCCCTCAGGCTTGGAAAGTTTTCTATGAGCTTTAAAATAATTCATTTATTCATCTACTTGTTTGTGAACTTAAAATTAGAAGCACAATCAGTTTCATTCAATGTGGTTTACAGAAATTTAGTTGTCAGGCAAACTTACCATTAATTTCCTTTGTCAACAGTAAAAATGTAAATAATACTGATAAATAATGATGGGGAAATTTAGTTATGGGAGTTGAACTGGATTGTCTGGTATACTTAAGTGTATGCATTTAGCTTCTTAAGCCTCTATTTCTAAAGCCATTAATCTACTTAGCCTGCTTAGTAAAGGCTGAGGAGTAATTTGAACAGAGTATTTTGGCGCTTATGTGAATAGAAGATACTCTTGACAGAGGGCTATCTATGTGGGAGAGTCATGACAAGATCTTCCCAGGTTGGAAGCTGAGGCTAGGCAAATTCAGCTTAGAAATAAGGGACATTTATTTCCTAAAAGAAAAAGGTGAATTTAACCAGTGCAACAACGAATTTGTGGATCTTATTTTTCCGATCACTTAAAAGTTTTAACTTAAAGACTGGATGTTTGTTTGTACTACATAACCTAGCTCAAAATAAATTTGAGGATCAATGGTTAAGTCCTTTGTTTATGAACACAGTAAATGGTCATCAGATACAAATTCACAAGTTTGCATCCTGTCCCCAAAGACATATCATGGACTCCAAAAGCCACACCCATACATGAGTTTTCTTATGTCAAGACAATGTGACTCTGAAGTAGAGAAGCAAAGACAAAGCAGGGGCAAAGTGGAAGAACCATCAGCCAGTGTCTTACAGAGGCTCCCAGGGAAGGAACAGGAAGGAATGGGGAGGTTGAAGTTAAAAATTAAAACTACAGTTGACGATTCTCGTATGAATACATTCAATCTGTGAGGCAGGGTGGCAACAGTAACGTTTTGTGTGAGAAAATTTAAGTAGCTCAGATTTACTTAAGAGAGTTAATTAGTCTTTACATATGCAGTAATATCTTCCATGAAAATATCTTTTCTAAAGATAGCATCTAAATTTAATTTCAATGACAATATCACCTTTGTATATTTACTATCCCCTTTTTTTCTAATTACAAGATGCTGGTGAAACACTTTGCAATTTAACATATCTGCTTCTTCAGAGTGCCAAAGCACAAATGGCATTTACAAAATGAAACCCTGAAGAAGGAGGTAGCAAGCAGCCACTCTTCCAGTTAATTGCAGAAGACTTACACAACCCATGCAAATTCACAAGCTTCATGCACCAAATCTAGCAGTCACTTCAGGACTAATTAACTGAATACTGAGGAACATTTTTTACTTGCTGTCATACTGTAATTCTGACTTTGGGTGAAAACTTCAATGAAAATTAAACACTTCTGACTCAATATAATCAGAAACAACATGGCATCCTCAAAATTAAAATTTGTGTTGGATGTGCTTATGTTAGAACAATAAAACAGCAAGGACTCTTATGTGGCAAAAAGTTCTAAAAGTCATGAAAAGGGATTCCAGGAGGATCACAGTACACAACGTGGACTATACCAGCCTGCAGAAGTAAAACAAGTATCAAAGCAGATAAATGCCATGCTCTAGTTAACTGCATTTTACTATATATATCTATAAGAGCATGAAATCCTGTAACAAAGGTGGACAAGAGGATTCTTAACATTTTCTGCAAAGAGACTGTAGTCTCAAAGCACGTTTGAGCAATATTATCACCACCTGTACATAAAAGAGGAAAAATTATCAGTGTAGAAAGCTGAGATTTCTTATCTAGATTAAGTCCTTTGAAATGCAGAAAGGCTGTAAACCAAGCATTATTTACACTCATCAGAAGTAATCTCCTTGCTAACTGGGGCATGACAACAACTGACCTCAAAGCAAGATCACTGAATGATGACGAACTGCAGAAAAGGATATATTTGGAAACATGGTTAATTATTGCTTGAAGCAAAGAACTGGATTTTACAGAAGTACTGGTGGACCACTACGTCTTACACTCTGGATCAGTAAAAAAAATAAACAGGGAAACAGAGAAACCATCCCCATATCATTTTTTATGGATATTTTCATCAATAATGAAAAACTAATGGTGTAAAGGCATTTTCAGAACATTATCAGCATAAGACATAGGTGCAAGAAGCAATATGACTGATGTGGTATCAGTTTTTACAGGGAGTCATAAATGAAAGGTGCCAAAAGATGCAGCAGAGATTCCAACACAGATACACGTTTCAGGAAGACAGCAGCAGTTCGTAAGACCCAGCAAGGCAGGAAATCCTTGAGTAGCTCAATTATGCTGTACCATCCTTGCTAGGAATGTAGAAAGGAGAAAACAAATTAAGAGCTGCTACATGATGAAGTCCTCTGCAGCACAGATGAGTCCATCTGCTTGAAGTTAAATAAAATACTGTAAGGAAATTTAAATTTTGCAGTCGTCTCAGAAGGTGGCAGATGCATACACTATTCTGTATGAGGTACATGTTTCAACTAATAGATACAAACAATACACTTCGAAAGCCAAGACAGCCATGAGTCCTGTCCTTAGGTTCAGCTATGTTATAGCTTGCTGAACATATGAGCAAGGTGTAATGCAGACCTGAGCAACAACCATGGATGCTAATAAGGTAGCACATTCTCCTGGGACAAAAGCAAGCAGAGTGTAGCTGTGCCTTTTGTAAAGCTTTATGCATAGAAGAAAGAGAGGAGTTTTCAGTTTCTGCAACAAGAGAGCACTTGCCAACAAATCCATTCCAAGCTTTGACAAACTTGAGTTTTCACCATGTCCCTTTCAGAAACCTAGGGATTTCCTGCAGTTGTGAATTCCAGCAAAGTACAACAAATTATAATCAATAACAGTACTGTCAGTTTCTCTGTACCAGAAAGGACTGAAGGTGACTTCAGTCACCTATGTAAAATGTGTGTCTATTCCAGTGCGCACTGCACACAAACCAAGCAAGGTTCAAGGGACAATTCCTGCAGTGAAAACCCACTGTGCTAGGTCCAGCCAAAAGTTATGAGTGGACACCCTATAAGAAAAACGAATTAGATGATTGTTTAGTGAACGAAAGGGCTACCAGCACTCAAAACTGTGCCAGAAATTATGATATGCAACTGTTGGTGTTCCTGACAGGTCAGGCAATGCAAGGGCACTAATCATAAGGATAGCTCTGCAGTTTGCCTCTACCAATCAATTTAAAGATAGATATAAGAATGGTGTCCAAGAGATTTCAGGGAAGATCTGGATGCAAAAGAGGAGAAGGACGTGTGGTATCTGAAATATACATCTAATTATCTACAAATGCCTTCCAGTACATCTTGCATGCTTTAATTATGGGGAATATATTGCTGTAGGCCACAATGTATTCAAACAACTAAGATAACCTTAAATCTTTTTTTTCTGAACTGCAAAAATTGAACGCATTACTGCAAAATTGTATTTGTCATCCTGGAAAGGTAGCACCACTAAGAACATAATTATCATTACCAAGCTACCAGTTAGCCAACAGCAGCACATCTGAACAAAAATCTATAGCTTTAGAAGCTTACAAAACTATTAGGATTTGCTGTCCCACACAATCTGACAGATCTGATGATCTGACACGATCCCACCCTCTGACATACCTGCCATTAGTTGACCAATATAGCACTTGCTAACATGCAAAAATTAAACTTATTTAAACAGAATCAAACCCAGACGATTTCTAAATGCAGACGCGCACTTGTATTGACTTAATATATTCCTCTGTTTTAGTTCACCTCTCAAAGTCAATACAGAAGCCAGATTTAAAATGATATAAACTCTATACCTAGTCAATAAAGTTCAGTTTTTCTAGATCACATCTTTAGAAATGGACATATAAACCAGGCCTGAGGGACCAGATTTTTCTCCAAAAACCTCTGTTACTGCAAGTCATTACACATTGCCCTCTGCTCGGGCTCTGAACTGAGCTACAGGTTGCTACACAGTGCCTAGGACAGCCCTGGACTTGTGACCGACCGCTGAAGAGCATTACATTCTGACAGACCATTCCTCCTCCCACAGCAATACTAAAAGGAGGTTAATTTGTTCTGCTTCAGATCACAAATATTCAAGATGCACATTTGCAAGCTTATAAGTAAAGTAATGAACTGTCTCTTGGGAAGTGCTGTATCATGCTTTTGGTCACCCTCAAGCAACTCAACTGCCATATCTCTTAGAGAGAACATCTGGTTTGTCAAGGAGAGTGTTCCAAGTTTAGAGCCACAGATGAAGTCCTTGCCTAACTCAAAACACACATAGCTCATCACTGTTAATGCACTGCCTTCTGTCACCTTCTGACTGCTGGATTTTCAGCTCTCATTATTTGTTTCAACAGAGTTACCTTTACTACCCAGTGATCACTATCAAAGCCTCCCATGTGTCTGACTGAGCATTGTCAGCAGTGCAGTTAGCCTGTTGGATATAAATAAAATACCTTCATTGCCATAAGTTCCTGCATCAAGACTGCATTTTCCAGGTCTAGTCTCTGGCTGTCTCCACGAGGTTTAACGTCATAACTAAGGGGATCAATGTGGATGCTTTCCAGCTCCAGCATCGTCAGTTTCACTGCTGCCCTGTCATTTTTCAACTGCTGGATGTAATCCTTCAGCCGCTGCTCATCCTCCTTTGTAAATTCCGTATCACAACTGCTTGCAGTTGAGCTGGTAGTACTGGAAAGAGAAAGAATGGTATTAAAAAAACATTTGAACAAAGTCTGTATTTTTACATCAAACACTCTTCCACATCTGAGTCTTACTTAAAAGTTCATAGAAAGGACACACATAGTGTGGACTGGACCTTGCAAGGTTCAGAAGAAGCAGAGAGGTGTGACAAATTCAGAAAACAAATTAATTCTCTAAGCCGCATGAGAAAATTGAATCATGTGACAACTTCTCTGCAAAGCCAGATATTTAGTAACATGTAACTGAATTATTTTTTCTGGAATGGTGTCTTCGGAAACAAGTCTTTTTTTTAATTAAAAAAAAAAAAAGCTACTTAAGATTTCTTAGCAATGCCCTAGCATGGTAAGCTTCTCTCTGCTGCTCAGACACTGAATTTTCATCTTCTTTGGGAAGAAACATCTGGTAAGAAGAATCAGCCCACGCTTCATTTATCTGTGCTGATGGCAATACCAGTTATCATCTCAGACATTTTAAATGGATACTTGTAGGAATCAAACTCAGCAAAATTCCACTGACAGATACCAGGAGGTAGCATCTTTCAATTCATGTTAAGGTATATTCCTCTGTAGACGGACATTCCTTCAGGGCTGGAGGGGTTTAAAACCAACCCATAATTTAGCAGGGTTTTTAATAAAAAGTCATCATCAGACTTGGCAGAACTTCTATCTACAGGCATCAAACAAATGGCTGCCCATTAGCCTGCCTGACAAATGTTTACACAGAGATCGCAGAAAGGGAGAACAAATGTCTTAAGAGCAATGGTGGCTCAGTGCTGCCTACCCACCTACACACATGCCAGTGCTGCAGGGGGCTGAGACTGATACAGCCATAGCATTCCAGGGCTGAATATAGTCGCAATAACACTAAAAGGAAAATAAAATGCCGTGTTGTTTCTATAACCTCACCCAAAGCTGCCTGCTGTCTCCTGAGGTCCTCTAATCAGCTGCCGGGTGAGGGATTAGTCATCCATTAACTGTGCTTGTCTGGAATGCTAGATGATCTCAGTTATCAGCAGGGGAATAAATCACTTTCTGTATCAAATTGCACTGCTGTTCAACATTTTTGTAGGAAGAAAAAAAGCCCCACCTGCTACATGCTGTGAGAGTCAAGATGATGTCCTAAAATATATTATGCATGAGAAAAAGGGGAAGCCTATCAAGATGGGCTTGATTTTTCTCTTTTCTCTTGGTTCTACTTCAGCTAAAGCTACACTGATTTTTAAGTGCCTCAAATAATTGCCAATCTTCCCACAAATTCCAAGCACAGACTTGGAGGAGATGGAGAATTGGCAGGTCTACAAAGATTCGTCAAAATCCTTCCCTCATGAAATATCGCATTACAGTTCTTTACTACATTTCTCTGTCAATTTCCCATTATTCCTTCTTTTTCTTAGGAATAATAGGTGTGGTATTTACAGCAAGTGTAAACTGGTCTTTGCTTTTGTTTTCATCCATTTCCATCTGCAGTGAGGCGAAAAACACCCAGTACCCACCCTACACAGAAACCCTTTCAGGTTGAAACTAATTTTCGTTCATACTTTGTTGTTCATTAGAGACCCTCGAAACGCTTAATAAATCTTGCTTTACTGAGTTTAAAGATACCTCTCTGAAGTAGATATTGATATAAAAATCATGAGGACAGACAATGTGAGAAATACTTAATTCTGTACCGGTCATGTTGCAAGTTTCGTCCTGTTGCAAAAGCACCCAAAGACAGCAATTGCACAGCTTTTCTGGATTTAATGTAAAACAGCTGCTGTTGGAGGAAGGACAGCTTTTAAAGCCTACACAAGCTTCAAATCTTGGGACACAAAGAGCTCATCTCAGTTTTCACTTGCAAAGGAAAGAAAACCTAGCTCTCCTGCTGGGAATGAAACCTTAGCAAAAATGCTGAAAGTCTATTGTTATGTTGTGTTGGACCTCGTACTCAATCACAGATTTTGGCCCTAAAAGATCCACGGCTATGCATGTATATTTTAGGGGAAAGCAGTCCAAACTAGAGAAGGCAGTCTGGGTTGCTGCCAGCGATACTCAGGCTGCTTTTACTTCAGTCCTGGCTGGCTGCCTGCCTGCAGCTGAGTTGGCTCCTCTGGTGAATTGCTAGCAAGCTGCTCTTCTTCTTTTTTTTTTTTCCCCCCAAAGACAGCGAGGGGAGCTTAGCAAGGAAGCTGTCTCAGCCAGCACACAAAGGGACAAAAACTTTCCCTCTCCCCCCACATTTAGCAGCA